TTTTTCCCTAGCCTCTTCAGGCTTTACAAATGATAGATAATTTGTCGAGTGTGTGGTTTACTCTCACAGAGAGGATACAAAGATTTACTACACTCACTAAGGTTTATGTTTCTAAGTTACACTTAGAACTCCTTAGTCTACAGATATAAATACAATATTGTACATTTGACTATGTATGCTTTGTCTCTAATTTCGTTGCTTCTTGGGCTTGGAATCACTCTTCGCCAGCCATTCCAGGTTTGGATTCATGACATACTTATAGCCTCTGTACAATTTTCCTATTGCAAGTGTCCGTTGAAGCAAAATGTAGTCGTTTATGACTAGTTTGATTTCTCTTTTAATGCACTTGATTTTGCATTAAATGTTGCTTCTTGTTTATAGACATTGCGTGAAGTCTTCTAAGTTTTTGTTAGTTACAGTGTTTGACTTTAACTGTGACCTAGAAATTTCTTGTCCTTTTTTTTGGTCATCGTAACTGCAAAGGCGTTGTCTTTATTTGAAAAAGTAATGTACTTTTTCTGACACACGCGTGCTTTGACTTTTGGGCTTGCATTTCTTCTTCTTCTTCTTTTCCTTCCAGCACGTGATCATATTGAGAGCTCTTTGTATGATTGTAGACGATGCCTGAATTGTCTCTTGAGACTTGATTCTTCAAATGCTTGCATGACAGTCTTCGTCTGTGTCTGGTAGTCCATGTGCATCTCAAGACTTGATCTTCGTCTGAGCATTTGTCATCAATGCTTTGAATTCCTTTGGTCTGGTCAATATTGTAGATGGACAGACTTCATTTTCGTCTGGAATGCTTTTTAGTCTGTGCTGTCCTTCGTTTGATATGTAGTTGACTTTCGTCTGATTCTTGACTAGCCTTCATATGAATCCTTATGTTGCGCTTTATGTTGTGCTTGACACACCTACGTCTGGTATTTGATACAACATCGTCTGGTGCTCATGTCGTATTTCATCTTGCATTTGACTCTACTTCGTCTGACCGTCATGTTGTGCTTTGCCTTAACTAATCTTCGTCTGGTACTTGAGGAAGTTTCATCTGTGGTTTGTATGGACTTCTTCTCGTTCTTAAATGTGCTTCGTTTGAAGCTTGATCATTTTCCTTCTTGTGTTAGACTTGGCTTCGTTTGACCTTTCTATCTGATACTTGAAGCTTTCCTTCCTTTATCTTGGTTCTAGTATAAGAAGTGGCACATGCTCTGTTCTTCAACTTGCCTATACTTATATTTTTCTGAAACACTAATACACATGTGAGAAATAAAAATATGTATTATATTTGTCTAATTCAAAACTTTGCTGGGAATTGCTTCGTCTGACTTAACAGGGTATAGGTGTATCACGACCTTGACATGCATTACCAAGTCACATATGGAGTTAGCCCACTAATTATTTGCAAGGAATCATACAACCTTTGTAGTAATCAGTTAAAAGTGATGGCCCTCGACTTCATACATTACTCCACATTGACCAAGAACATAGACGAGACTCAACAAAATCCACTCCAAGAGTTTCACACCTACATAGGGATGATTTTCAACCATTTGCCTCCTAGAGCACCAAAACAAGATTTCCTATATGGGATCTTCAACTTTCTAAACGACACTTTCTTCTCTAGTCCTGAGTAAATCAACATGTTTTAATGTTCACAACATTTTTAACATCAACACCTCAACATACATCTTCTATACACATTATCCCATATCAATGCATATAAAGATCAAATCACATAATCATGTATAACATACTTAACACCTCAACCAAGAATAACATATCAATGCTTAACAATTCATCCAAGTATAACATAACAATGCTCAACAATTCATTCAATAATAGCATGTCAATATTTATTCAACACTCTAACCATGCAATTTATAACATATTAATCATATAAAGCATATCAATGTTCATCACCGTTTCATTTATATAAATATAGCATACCAATGCTTATTACCATTATTCTACATATTCATCATCATTTAGCCTTAAAATAACTCCAACAATAAGTGGTCAACACCCAACTCATCCATAAGTAAACAACCAACTCAATCAGAACAAAAAAAAATTGACTGAGTCTCTACACTGAACATGGAATCTCACGCTCAACCTCAGGCTTCCAAATAGTTATATAATGAAAATTTTAATTTCTCACACTAAGTGTGGAATCTCACTCTCAGCCTCAACCACCCAAAGGCACATGCACTCTCATACTAAGGGTGAAAACTCAAGCTCAACCTTAGTCTTTTAGATGCTCAGCCTCAAAACTCAGAATTTTTAGCGTCAATGAAGAACATCTCAAACAACCATGAGCACCATATAACCTCCAAATCCTCTCAACTTATGCAATAATCCATGCATGAAGGCCTAAAATCTCATAAAAAAATGAGAATACACATGCATGAATCAACAACACCTAAAAAATTCATCAATTTCTCAACTTTTCACCAAGAACACCAAAACCCTCAAATCCTCATGCCACCCAATTTTATTTGATGAACACATCCATAAATCTCAAGGGAATTCAAGCAACATGTACAATAAGGGTTGGGTTTTAATTTCCCTTACCTTGATTCCGAGCTTCCAAAGTGAGGAGAGGAAGAAGGAGAAAAGAGAAAAAGGAAGAGAATAACTCCAAACTCTAAGAAAGCTTCATACAAAATCCACTTTAATTTTTGACCTCAAGTACTCTAAATGTTCCTAGCAACAAGAACTATAACAGTAATGCTCTTGAAAATCGAAGGGAATTCGAAGAAGAAGACTTCAAAAAATGTAGTTTATCCACCAACCTAGTATTACAAAAATATTATAAATGACAAATCTCTAATCCAATTAAATAAGATCATTATTGATGATAATTTTCTTAAAAAAATATTTAATTCAACTGCATACATCATACTTAAAATTAAAATAATTAATTATTCAATTAAAATAACATCATGAGACGGTTAATATATATGTGTGATATATTATTTATCATAAATTGATTTATAAAATTGTTCATTGATATATGTGTAAATAATTATCCATGAATTGATTTTTATGAAAATGAATGTAAGGAGGGAAACGTGAATTGTTGAGTGGATAAGATTTAATATGAAAAATAATCCAAAGATTGACACGTGAAACTTTATTATTTGAGAACATTATAGTTTATACTTATATATATTATTGCAAATTATAGATGTGTGTCCGAAAATTCATCTACAAAAATGATTGTCCACTCTATCGTGCTTGTACACACGTTTATAAATTTTATAAAGAAACATATACACATAAAATTTGCAAAATTTATCAATATAGATTTTAGACCTATATATACAAATTATACGTTTTAAGGGAATAATTAAATAATTTATAAAACAAAATTATATATATTTTTCGAAGAAAAAACGGACACTTCATGTCTCTTTATGTAATTAGCATGCAATTATGAGAGATGATAAAAGTTAAAAAGGTAATGAGAATGTAAAATCATTTTGAAAGTGGATTTTACTTGTAATTAGCGGTACAATTTTTTTTTATATGAATACAATAATGATGTAACTTATCATATTTAATGAATAAAATAGTGTAAAAAAATATAGAAACAAAAGGTGAATATTGCTTCAAGAATATTTATTTACCAAAGCTATTATAATAGTTTTCAGAGTAATGATAATATAAATTAACATGGTGTGAGATAACTTTGTCAAGTAAATTTAATTTTAATATATTATTTAATTTTTGAATTTTTTTTAATATTTTAATTAAGTTTCTAAATTAAAAAAAAAACTAATTAGGTCATTTATTTATTATATTTTTACAAATTTAATTTTAATAGTTAAAAATTTATTTATAATTCATAAATTTTATAAAATATTTTAATATATTCATATTTAGACAACTAAATTTAAATATTATTATGTGTCATGTTTATGTGTATAAAAAATATTTGTGAAATTTCATGAGTTATTAATAATTTTCTAATCTTAACGACCAAATTACAAATATATAAAAAGATGAAAGAATTAAGACAAAATTTCAATTCAAGGATCTAATTCAAAATTTTAAAAGATTTAGAGAGCAAATGATATATAAACCTCATGTCGATATTTATGCGTATAATGAAAAATCTATGCAACTTCATAATAAGAGCAATAACTAAAGAATAAATAAGTAAATTTTTTTATTGAAAATTATAATAAAATTATGCAAAAATCAATATGCATATAGATATTTTTTTAAAACATTAATTAATTAGGTAAAAAATAATTAAATGAAAAAAGTTAATATAAGAGATGTTAAGCTAGCTTAAAAAAATAGATTAAATTACTAATAAATTTAATATTTTAAATTTAATTAATTAATACTTAAAAAATATAATTTAATTAACTAATTTTATAATTAAGAATAAATGTAGTATTTCTTATCCGGTGGGCATTGATTAGTATTTTCCAAAATCTATTAGAAAAAGTCAAATCCTTATGGTATATTTACGTAAACTTCTTTTAAAAGATAAAATAAGAAGAAAAAGTAATACGATAAACTTTTTTATAAGTTAATATATATTTTTTTTATCAAAGAAAACACCGAGAGAATCTCGAAAGTTTGTAACCCTAAATATCAAATATAAGTATTTAAAAAAAAAAAATTAGTCCATAGCTTCATGACGTTAATACCAGGTTAAAAAATATTGATAATAAAATAAATGAATGTGGAAGGAAAAAAAAAATAGAATTAAATCTGACAGGCTCCACGTGTGAGTGTGTACACCACAAGATGAAAGTATAGTAAAATAAAAAAGGCGATATTACTGTGCAAGAAAAATATCGGGAAGACAGAAGGCGTAAGAAGAACACGTGTCCATGTGGGTCCCATGGATGCGTGGGAGAAGATCACTTGGAACGCTGCATATTAAAAAAATGGATGGCGGAAAATGTGCCACGTCATGAGGGGGTAGCGATGGAGCTTTTGACGATCCATTGAGATTTTGATGGGAAGATATTTTTATCGATTTTCGCGGTTGTGGGCAAAAGCTGGTTGGCAGAGGAAGTGAATCAGAATCGGAAGGGGGCGGTTTCCACTTTCCATACCCTTACGATATCTTTCTCTCTCAATTTTATTATTATTGGTCAGAGAGGATGGGCTCAACTTCACACGCTCTCTCTTTTTCTCTTCTTCCTCTGCCGCCATCAGTTGTCACAATCGATTAGGGTTCTTCTTCTTCTTTTTCCGTTGTGGAAATTGGTCCGAAGCATGTTAGTGTTCGAGAATGGCTGAGTTGAACGGTGCCATGGAGGAGCAGAAGGTCACCAACAACGATCGCTTTGCGGAGGTGGTTCGCTGGGAGAGGTTTCTGCCTCGGATGGTTCTCAGAGTGCTGCTTGTTGAAGCTGATCATTCCACTCGTCATATCATCACTGCGCTTCTTCGCAAATGCAGTTACTCAGGTTCTTCTTCTTCTTCTTCTTCTCCTTCTCACCATGTTCTTTTCGTCGGTTTCGTTTCTTTTTCGGATAATGTTTGGTGCATTGTTTTCTTTAATTGCGAATATTTATATCTAAATTATACTCGTGGAATTATGCTACGTTGATAACTGCGGTAGCATCTAGAGGTTGCTTCTATTTGATTTTCCACGTGTTGGATTTCATCATCATCAGTTACGTTACTTATGAAGCTCAACGTGCCGCTAATTTTTATTTTTTTTTAATCTGAAACTGATACGGTTTTGCAGTTATGATGACTTATGACTTGAGCGTAGGAGAAATGAGAATATCCGTTATCTTTCATCGATAGATTTATTTGTCGGTATGTTTACAGTGTTTTGTTCTAAACAAGACGCGATGAACCTGATTATCGGAACTGTAATTTTAGTGTTTTTTTAAGTAAGGTAAAAGTAAATTTGGTAACATATTTCAGATCCTAAACCCTGCAATTACCGGACCGTTGGATAAAGATGGACAGATCATGTTTTATCATAGTAAATCAAGTTTAAAACAAATTATAAAATTAAGCGGTCCAATTTTCATACAGCGGTTGTAAATGGTCTTATTGTGTGAATACGTCGAAACTTGACTGCATTGAATCCGGTTCTAACATGTTTCAATAATCCAATTGTTTTAATTTTTCCACTTTCCTTGTATATAGTGTATTTATTTGCCCCATATTTTGGGAGATCCGGGAAGGAATGTTTTGTAATGTTAATGATATAACATTTTGCAGTAATGTTGGTATCTTTGGTTGGAATATCACACAAAGATTTTTTTTTTAATTGATAATGCAAAACGTTGTGGAAGGTCCAATTTAAGCTTGACATTAATGGTAATTTTTTTATTGATGTAGTTATTGCGGTTCCTGATGGATTAAAGGCATGGGAAACGTTGAAGAGGAAGGCGCCTGATCTAGATCTAATATTAACAGAAGTGGAGTTGCCCGCGATATCTGGATTTGCACTTCTTTCTTTAATTATGGAGCATGACACTTGTAAAAACATTCCTGTCATAAGTATGCTGACTTGTTACTGTGTATTTGTATTTTTGATCTATGTATAAAATTTTCCATAAACATTTATAGGAGAAGAAAATAAGATAAGTATTTCCAAAATTGAAATTAATTTATATGTAAGCAGCATATTTGTAAAAGCTAATTTTGATTTTTGGAGAAATTAATTTTACTTTTTTATTTTATATTTTTTCATAAAAGTGTTGATGGAGAATTTTTATTCAACCAGACCCTTAATCTAGATGTTAGATACAAATGGCTTATGGCTAAGGTTTATTCTCATGGGTGTGCAGTGATGTCTTCTCATGATTCAGTTAGCATGGTGTTGAAATGCATGTTAAAAGGGGCGGTTGATTTTCTTATAAAACCCATTCGGAGGAATGAGCTTCGGAACTTGTGGCAACATGTATGGAGAAGGCACGCTGTATGTCATATTTTTCATTCTTTTTGTAGAGATAATTTTTTGTATTTTTTTTTTCATCTTTTATGTGGTTTGCTATTTTAGCATATATTTACTTGTTCCTTTTTAATTTCCTCTCTGCTGTATATTATTTATCCAGATAACGGCTCCTACTCATAATACAACATTTTCACCGAAAAAGCTTCAAACTGCCTCAGAAGACAATTCTGCAAGCAATAAATCCAGTGGTTTTGTGGCTTCCTCAAAGAAAAACAACGAATGCAGCGAGAGATTAAGTGAGGCTCAAGTAAGTTTCACTGCCTCAATTTTGCCAAATTTGTCTTATAACACATTGCTTAGACTTCAGTGTGTTGAGTGTGAAGTGATTGGCTTTTAATTTAGTTAAATTTATTTCTGAAACTCGATCGACTTTTGTCACTCAGTGCTTGGCTTGAGTAACATAAAGACATGCAACTTAAAATCTGTTGCACAATGCACTTACAAAACCACTTTGCTTGCGGAAAATATTCTTTTTAGTTTCGCTTCGTGAAATTTCACACAGAAACTACAAGTTTGGTAACTCTTGTGCAGAGTACTTGTACATCGCCAATTTTGGAAGCTGAGAGTACATATGTGGATAATATGCAGGACGCATACCAGCTGAAGAGTTCTAAGTTGAGCAAAATTGATATGGTGAAGCATGAAGAGTTTACCGAATTTGAAAGGGAATCAGCCAAGCATAATGACGATACAGGAGGTAGCAAATTTCATTTTACACTTTGATTAAAAATGTTTTTATCTTGTTTTTATGTATTGACAATTGTGTCGTTTTATAAAAACATTTAATGCAGATAAGTCAATTACTATTGTAACAGAGGCTGCATGGTGCGACAAAACTTTTGAATTGACAGATTTAACACTAGAACAAGACCATGGTTGTGCTGAATCTGAAAACAAGGATGAAATTTTAAAATCTGAGTCAGGAAGAGATAATCCTAGTAGTAGTACTGAAATACATGGATGCAGTGATGAACGGGTAGAACCTTCTAATGGAGCTATTGACTTGATTGCCACATTTGGGAATCCTTCAAAGCACCCTGATGAAAACTGTTGTCTCAAAGATGGTAATACAATCAAGTTTGATTGTGATGCACAATTGGAACTTTCTTTAAAAAGTGATTTTCCTGGCGGCTCATGTAAACAAGCAAGCGAAGCAACTGAAGAATCTCCAAGATTGAACCATTCAAATACTTCTGCCTTTTCTTGGTGAGTTTAGTGTTTCCTTGTGAGAATTTTAGTTCTTAAATGATATCTCTACCAAAACCAGATGCCATGCAATATTTCCTCTGACAACAACATTAAAAAAAAAAAAAAAATTAATCAGCAGAACAGAAGGAAGTTCTTCATGGAATTTTTGTTATTTTATTTTTAATCGGTGCTTTCATGTCTTTTGTCAGTCTTGTTTATGTTGTTCTATATGTAGGATTAGCATTGGTGAAAGCTGAATAAATGGTGACTTGGACGGAAACATAATTTTGAGAGCCTGGGTTGATAATCTATGGAAGTATCCAAATAATGGTAGATATAGTTATGCACCTAAAATTTAAAGACTGGTGGAGAGACCACATATATGTGGGTGTTTTCGTGCAGTCATCGCAATAAGAGGAATTCTTCAAAGAGACTTTGTTAATAACCAATTGAGATTGTTTCGTTTAAGTTTATAGATCAGATCATCTCTATGTAAAACCATACAGGTTTGGCCTTTTTTTGTTTAACATTAAATTTCTGCACTCGTGGTTCCCCCTCCCTCCACCACCCAAAAATAAAGGCCATGTTTTCATCTTGGATGATGAGAAATCAGTATGCAGTCTTTCGTTCTAAAGTTTTCTTCCTATTGACCCATTCAAAAAATCAACGTGCAATAATTCACTGTGATTACACAAATTTTCTGACAATAGGTGACAATTTTTATATGCAGGTATACAAATAGTAAATCGTTGCAGCCTCTTTTTCCAACACCGACAATTGCATCTGCTAAAGTAAACAACCCCAATTGGGATTCTCACGAATCCTATAAACTATCTGTAATTACTTCTGGAAATGGTTGTCAGTATGGTGGCTCTAATCAGAATCTGGAGAATATGATCAGTACAGTCATTGGTCAGAATGGACAAGTTAAGCCAAAATTATCAAACAGTCAATGTGGACTCTTACCTGTTTCAGGGGTTATTTCCAATCTTAATTCCAAGGGACATGGTAATGTTTTCCCTTCTGTGTTCTATGCACAACCTGGCTTTCATCCCATGTGGAATCCGAAACCAGTCTGCCAGAATGAGAGTTCTCCCTTTCCCACTAGTAACTCCTCCCAGTCCAATCCTGAAAGTAACAATTCAGATCAACATCCTGAAAGTCCCAAATGTCTTAATCAAAATGTAAAGGATAATAATGATTCGGATCATGCAAGGCATGATTCTCCTGCTGCTGAGCGTAGTTTATGCCATGAAACTGCAAATCATGTTAGTATTAGTGCATATGGAAGCATGGAGAGTGCAAACGATGGAAATGCTACTTCAGCTATAGTATCCAATAACAACCCGGAAGGTTTCAGTGATAGTGGTTGCCATAATTATGATGGATTCAGAGTGACAGATTCTCATCACTCCAGTCAAAGAGAAGCGGCTCTGACCAAGTTTCGACTGAAGAGGAAAGAAAGATGCTTCGAGAAAAAGGTATTATAACCAGACTAATACTGTTTAGTGAAAAGCTACTTTAAAATTATTTATGGTAAATTTATATCTATGATTGTAGTTGGCTTGAAAACTCCCATAGCATGTTGCGCTAAAGATCTTATTGATAAGTGTTCTAATTTCTTGTACAGGTTCGATATCAAAAACGGAAGAGACTGGCAGAGCAACGGCCTCGGGTCAAAGGGCAGTTTGTACGCCAAGTACACAATGATCATCCAGTCGCCGAGGCTGGTGGTGATTCATGAAATTTGTTCTTTTTAGGTTACCTGTTGTATTAAATTACAGCTGACTTTAACACTGATTGCATCAACAAGGATTAGTTGTAGGGTGATGTCTGTGTGTGTTGGTGGAATCTGTTTATCTTGAAGCATTAGGCAAGAGTAGGCCAGTAAGGAGATAGGTAAAGGGTAGTGTTAAACATTCCAAATGTTTTCTCATGGCTTTATATTTGTACTGCCGCTTACAAATTTAGGATTGTAATTATTTAGTGGAATTGGTTTTGGTTTTACCTGTGTATATGTTTTCTTGGTTGAATACTAATATATATGGGTCTGTAATTTACATAAGGCTGTAGGCTTCGGTTTGAAAATTTCACTCGAGAACCTCTGGTTATGCAATTGAACGATCTTTCTTTGCATTCGGTATTTGAGCATTGTTTTAAACTCACCATGTATTTGTCCTATGCCATCTATTTCAATTCTCAATTGTTACCGATACTAATGTTCTTTCAAAGATTGCATACCTGGATGTAAGAAGCTAATGGCCCCTGAAGTCTCCATGTTATTTTGAAGAAGGTGGTAGAGTATCTAAATTATGCTTTTTAATACTGTTATGGTATCAAAGCTTTGTCCTCGTCTCTGATGAAGAGGATGCTGAACGTTTGGGTGCGGCTGCAGATACATCAATATTGAAGAGTGGTCCTTGATGAAACCATCGAGGGACTACTTCCACAGGAAAAGCATCAATAATGCACTTGTGGGACACTCTTATGTCTAGGATGATGTGGGACTGGAAGACGCATGGTCCAAACTCCTTATAGGATTTTGATTAAACAAGTGTAATATTGAACTGCAGACACGTTAGCAGTAATCAGCACATATCCCTTGCATTTCATGCAGTAACATTATAATTTCAAATTTATCCATGCGTCCGTGAAAGGGATCAAATCGAGCCACATCACCTTTTGCTATTCTGTCTGGTTCTTCATCCTTGGCATCTTCTATCTTCGGGTACATTCTGTCACTCCTGACTCCACTTTTTTATTTTTTGCTTATTTGTGTGAGTAAAATAAAATAAAATCACCATTCACCACTTGTGTTTCACATTTTAGGGTTCTTTGGAGAAAAGAAAAGGGCATTACTAGTTTTCCAATCAATTTACCAACATGAGCAAGCAGTGAACTTTTGGCTTGGCTCCACGAGTTTTATCAGGTTTGATTAGACTGTTGGGAGCAAATAACAAAATACAGCCAGAAAGCTAGTAGGGATGCTTACCCGTGAAGATGTTATAGGGGCCATCTGACTTGAACAGATAACCTTTAACTCTGCGTGGCTCAAGCGGTATGTGAGATAGAGCTATCTTACCACTTTCGCGTCTAACTTATACAGCGGGGAAACTTGATAAAACAAATATATATTAACTTCGATTCTATATATAACATCTGATCATCTAAGACTAAAAAAATACTCAATTTTATTCATAATAATAAATGGCTTATTCATATATCTTCAAATCACTAATCAAAGTGCATATCTCATTATTTATCTTTTCTAATTAATATTTATTTTTTCCTAATTAATTAATGTGTATATTTTTAAAAAGTTGATAATTAGTATTTTTTTATTAAATTAAGAAAACATACTTTAATTAGAGATATTTTAATCTAAAAATAATTAATATATAAAATAATATGAGTTAGATTTTATATAAAAGAATAAATAATTGTTATATGATAAGTATTATAAATAGAAATTGAGGTATTACATTAACTTTTACTTCTCATAATGAGATTGATTATTATTTTTGGGGCTAAAAGATATGATTTTGTAGCTTTCTTTTTATAGGATAATTGTCAAATAGTTATACTTATGTACTTTAAACATTTTATTTGGTTGTAACAACATATAGATTTAAAATATACATCGATCACCAACAATAATAGAATAGTTGAAAATCGACATTTATAGTGGAAATAATAAATTTTATAATCTAACTTTTAAGAATTTTTCAAATTATTTTTAGCTATTGAAAAACAAACTGATTTTTTTTTAAATAATTTTCTTTTCTAAAAAATGCATAATAATTATAAATTTTTGTGGCATACATATTAAATTTTTTAAAAGCACAATTAAATGTCCTTAATGTGACTTGTGTTACCCTTCAAAACAATTAATGCTCCAATTACCTGGTAAATTTTTTTACTCATTAAAATTATAATGATAATGTTTGAGTTCAAATTTAAGACTATATGTATTTTATCTGGTTTCTACCACTAGGTTTACTCTAGGAGTTCATTATCATATAGATGTAATGTCTACAAGAAAATGAAATAAATTATTTTTTGCCTTGTCTTATTCCTTTCAATTAAAAAATAATATTTTATTAAAAGAAATCTTTTAAATAGAAAAATTTTGAATTTTTTTTCTTAGGTGTTATATATTAATTGAGAGACAACAAAGGGGACATGCAAAAGAGTTAAGTTATTTGATTTCTTCGAACATATTAAAATAATTTGTCTCCTTATTGCTCCAATTAATAAAGACTCATCTTTAAAAAGATTCTTTTTCAAATAATATCTTGCTCTTCTACTTTTTTTAATGTTAGGTATTATTTTTCAATTAAAAAGACACGGAAGGAAACATAAAAAGGGACTGGTGATTTGATTTCACAATGTCAAGCGGGTTAAAATTTGTCTCATTTTTTTCATTTTCTTGTTTCTCATATATTTTTTAAATATTAAACATTGTATTATTATTTTTTGTTTGTGGTGTTTTTCATTGGAGTATCAAAGAACATATAAAAAGATTTGTTTGTGATGTTGGCCCATAATGGGGATTCTGAAACATCAATAGGACATCTCCCATCAAGGGGAAAAACAAATCATTAGAATAGATTTAATATTACTTTGAATCTGAAACCTTAAAGAGTAAAAGCATTTTTAATGCAATTGCTTAACTTGATTTAATATTATATTGTTTAACTCGAATGTTTGATAGACTATAAAATTTATATACTCCTCTGTTTTTTATTATTAGAAAAAAATTTATTAATTTTATGTTAATTATTAACATTAAATTTTAATATTTCTATAATATTCTTTTTAAATTGTCTTTGTTATAAATGTAAAAAGAAAAAATAATTGAAAGGTTATGTATTAAAGGAGAAATATTTTTTTTTTAAAATATCATTAATGATGTCAAAGTAATTAAATTTGTTTATATTTAAGAAAAAAAAACATTTTTTCTTCTTATAATAGAAAGAAGAGGGAGTATCAATTATATTAAAATAAATTTAAATAAAAATATAAGACTACATTATTCATTTGGTTCTTTTATTTATTTATTTTTATTTTTATTTTTATTTAGTTTATAAGTTAATTTAATCTCATTTTTATTTAATTAATGTTAATGTTTAATTTTTCTTAATCTGATTTAACGGTGGATACTTGCATCATGATATGAGATATTTATTGTATTTTTTTAATGGGTTTTAGTAAAGAAAAAAAAAATCTTGTATTGGAGTGAAAATGTTTGATTCTTAGAGTTTGGGCTAGGATGTTGTCGTTGTTCATGGTGCCTCAGGGTCAAAACGTTTCATGCCTTGCTCTTCCTCCATTCCAAAAATGCACTGTATAGATCCATGTGAGCAAATAATGCACTGTCGCTTGAGCTCTTGTGTCATTGTGATCACAGTGGCAGTGGATAAGGGAGATGCAAAGTTTTATGGTGCGGTAGGGTGCAACAGTTCAATCACCTTTTAAGGTTTTGCACCGTTGGATGGTTGTAATGTGGATTCATGAAAAAGGTAGATGGAGGCGGCATTTTGACCACTATAAATAAAAAAGAAAATAAAATTTCAAAAAAAAATTAAAAAAAAAACTATTTACCGAAATAAATAATTTTGGACATGTAGGAGTGAGAAGAGTGTGAAAACGTCAAAGTGGTTGACGTTTTTCTTACACTGTGCATGCAGGATCCGTGTTGGAAAATGTAAGTGGGGAAGGCGTCACACTGGGTGACGTTTTTTAACTGTTCATCCTTTTTCAGAAGCACAGTTTCAGTGGCTGCACAGTTTCAGTGACTCAGGGAATCAGAATAAAACGCACTGTTCATGGCAGTTTGACCGGTACGAAAGGTGCTTAAAAAACGTCAACACAGGTGACGATTTCAGCATAAAAAATAAACAAAGAAAACGTCAACTATGGTGACGTTTTTAGTTCATATACGTTGCCCCCTTCCTTCTTAAATAATGTGAAAGTGAAAGTTAAAGAGTAGACTAACAGAGAAGGAGAAACGAAGAGAAGGAAAAGGTGTGAACGAACTGAAGCTAACGAAAAACGAAGAGAAGGAAGAAAAGAGGTAATTTTAACTATTTTGAAAGCTTTGGACGTTGTTATTTCGTGCAGGTTTTTGGTAGTCAATGATTCTGGGACGGCCCGTTCTGAACCAGTTAGTGTGTGTTAAATTTGTAACCGAAACGGCCGTTCTGGGAGCAGAACGGCCCGTTGTGGTTTCAACCATTTTATTGCCATTTTTTTGTGTTATATAATTTAAATTATTCGAAATTAAGTGTAATAATTTATGTTTGTGTGATTTTAATTATATAATATTGATGTGCCAACAATATCAACAACAATATATAATTCTATCATACTCATATGACTTTGCTGTTGAAAATTATCAAACATGCATGCAACATCTTCATCGTCACCAATTTCTACAGCTAGATAAAAAACAGGATTCACACAATGCAAATATCTGCAAGTAATGCTGGAAACAATTTGGTTATGATGCAATTTCAACTTCACATGAATTTTTTTCTTCAAAGATTCAAAATCCAATCCACGATTTACACGAATTGTTTTCGTGTCACCTGTAAAAATACAACCTTGCTCGTTGTTAATTCTACTACCATTATAATATAATAAGCAAATGAAAGACATTTTCAAAATAAAAATAAAAATATGCAAAATCAATATACGAATATGATGATAATAAAGAGAAGAGTAGCAGAACTATAATAACATCAGAAGACTTATAGAATGCATAATGGTCGAAGCTAGCAACTCATTCATCTATATATAACAAAATTTCTGAATGATAAACGTTATCTCTGATGACGTTTTCATGGTCAACGAAACAGTCCCTGCTGGTTCAGAGAGAGGCGCATTAGGTTCAGATAGGTTCAGAGAGAGTAGGTTCAGAGAGGGCAACTGAAAACGTCAGTACCAGTGATGTTTTCAGTTGAGTCAAAAACAACTGAAAACGTCAATACCCCTGACGTTTTAAGTGTAATTTTTTGCCCAACTGAAAACATCACTACCGGTGACGTTTTTAGTTGTTTTTTCCCACGTGAACAGTGTAGTGAATAGTACAAACTCGCCACTCACGTCGACGCTTTCCACAAATCGTCACTCATCTTTACTCTTTCTTCATCCTACGTGTCCAAAATTATTTATTTTGGTAAATAGTTTTTTTATTAATTTATTTTAGAAATTTTGTTTTTTTTATTTATTTATTCTGGTGCTTATAGGCTACCTAGTTCTTTTGAATAAACCAACCAAACGCCATGTTAACATCTCATAACGCAATTTAATTTAATATAAATTGAAAATAAATAAATACATAAAATGAGTAAATAAATAATTTAGCCAAAATATAAAGATATGAAATTCACTAAAATAAATTAAGATTCTAAACTTATATTATCATGTGATGCTCAATTTATTCATTTTCATTTAATCTGGGACTTCTTCAAACTTAACTCTTTTAAACAATTTTTCTCTTGAGATATACACGAAACCTTTCGTCTCGGTTACTCTCCTCAAACGAAAACTTTTTTTTTTTTTCTTTCTTTTTTTCATTAACTAGACACTCTACCAAACTCCACGTCATTGACCCACACTTGACACTTCCAACGGGAGACAAGTGATTTTATTATTTTCAATACATAAAAATCATTTGTTCTTTTTTGTTTTCAGGTTGTTATGTTTATACATTTCCTTTTTCTTATTACAATTCACCTTCGTACCTTTTATTTCCACTCTTTATTCCATGACATCATTTATTATAGTGTTTTCCATTAATTTCGTTAAATAGATTCTTTTTATTCTAACTAACAATTTATAGACTTTTAACTTAAATGTGATTTTTCGGGAAACTCATTTTATTATTTAATTATTATATATATCTATAAATAATTTAATCATTATTGTATAAGTTTACATCAAATTCAATATAGTGACAAATTGATCAATACATATACTTCAATCAAAGAGATCATATTATGAAGAACTAAAATAAGAATTTAAAAAATAAAAGTATAACTATATTATATTATATCACAATAAAAGAAAAAAAAAAGTGATTAGAAAACATATCAAAATTTCACGAAACCGGAAGTTATTGATGAAAGTAGACAAATTGATATACAAAGAGTTTGTGTAAAGTGTTTATGACCCCTAACAATGACAATATTTGAGTATTTAAAGAAAAACATTACAATGGCTAGTAAATGTGGGTTATACATGTGTATAACTCTCTAATAACTACTAAAAATTGAAAATAATTACTTTAAGTCTTTTTCGACACTATAAAAAAAAAAATTAACTTGATAGAATCTCCTTTCTTCACTTTCTTTGATCGACAAAACTTCGATCCTTATATTTTGATTAAGTCAAAAAATTACAAATAATAAATGCCCCATAAATTTTTTTCTCAAAATTTGTTAGAACAAGTATTTTTTATATTACATCTTAAAATTATTTCCTAGATTATTTTTGAACTTTAATCTAACTTCTTTCACATGATTTTATAGGAAAATCCCTACATTAAATGCTCCTAACACCAAATTAACCTCATCAAAAAGAGATTTTCAGCCGATTGATAATGACTTTGGTGGCTTACAAATATTTTATAAATATTTTATATAAAATCAAATAATGATTTTCCTTTATCTCCTAAAAAATCCATTCATTTTTATTTTAAATTCCAAATATTTGTTTTTATCCGAAAACCTAATATAAATCAAAATATTACTTGAGATTGTTCATACTTTCATATCTTCCTTTTGAAAAACTTATTGAGTTTCTTGCTCTTCTTAAGAATGGCATCTTCTTCCACTTTTGCTTCAACATGCATTCTAGTGACTGCCTATATTCCTTTTCAAATACCTTCTACTCCAGTTCCACCATTAGTAGAAAAAGACAAGCTAAACATGATTGATGGGACCAAATCGCCCCTTTTCCTAATCTTGAAGATGAAAGTTTCAAACTTTTTTATTCCCAAGCACTCATTCCTTTCCCTCTTGAAGATGGAATGTAGTGATTAGTTTGGACCAAGCATAATCTTGTACTACCTAATAATTTCTCAATTTGAGAGGTAGCTATAAAACAATGTACACAAAATAGAATAATCTTTTATATTATCAGTTTAAATAAGTTATCATATTAATATTGTCCCCACAAATTTATTTTATGTGACTATATATTATTTTCACAACCTCAAATTTATGAATTCATCACTAGTCATGTCTATTAATTTCTCCCTCTCTCTCTCCCTCTCTCTATTAAGATAAAGAATGATCCCCTAAATTCAGAGTTTTAATGTTAACAAACAAAATATTTTTTATAAAAGAAATATTTACGAAAATATCTTTGAAATGTATATTTGAAAGGCTTATTAGATGAAGTGTAAGCCATAGATCATTTGTTAGATGATTGTTAATCAAATGAAACATACATTCCATCTTATATACATTAAATATTTATAATTTATTAAGACTAATAACAAAGTTTGCTTTGAATGTTTCATTCCTTAACCGACTAAATCAAAAGCATCTTGGAACTCACAAATCTGTTAAAGGGAAGAACCATGCTTTCCTTCAAAAGCCAAATCCCTAAAATCATGGAGAAAAGTAGATAAAGTCACTACTATAACTGTTATGCACTGACATTGCTTTTACAAGCTCCGTTTGATATAAAAAATTGATAAGTAGCTTCCTTGATCAAATAAGAGATATTATTTGGTGAAATGTATTTAATGCTCCCATTAAATGTATCAAACGGTTACCTACCACCATAAAGGAAGATGATGAAAATAGACGAAACAAACTTGTGAACAACGGTCATCTTCTCCAAACTACTATATAAGAAGATTCCAAGCTTAAGAAGAAAAAAAAGATATAATTAATTTACCCGAGAAACACCAATTGTAATTGATACATATACATTTGTACAGAAACACTCTCTAAAAATCTATTATTTCTTGTATATATCCATTACTATGTAATTGGTTGTATATCATCTAAGTGATACGAACACAACATTTGAGTAACCTTTATAACCATTGTTATAAGGTTGAATCTAGAGAAATTTGTTAGTAAGAGAATACTTATTTTGAACTTGGAGAGACTTGTCTATAAAAGAATACTTATTTTGGGCCTAAAGAGGCTTAACTATAAAACTAATACTTGGTTGTTAAGCCTGGAAAGGCTTGTTGTTAAAAGAATACTTGGATAGTTGCTTGAAGAGACAAACCAAAGAATATATACTTAGGGTTGAGCAAAAAATGATTTGTTAAAAGAATACTTGTAACTTCAAGAAATTTAGTGAAACTCAATCTAGTTGGATTGAGAACTAAATATAGTCTCAATGGTTGAAGCGAATCAGTATAAAAATACTCAATGTTCCATTTGAGTTTTCTTCTTGCTTCATCTGACTAGTGTTACTACTTCACTGTAGACAATGTGCAGGTTTTTGATATACATTATTTAACTCGATCCCTTCTAGTATTTATCTTTACTCCACTCTCTCTCTTATCTTTCTCCACCTTGTATCCATACACCCTAAATTTGGGGTGTACGATGTACCTCTAGTTTATTTTTCTTTCTTCTCCGATCAATTAAAAATTGGCAAGTCATTATGTATGGCAACGGGGCGGGATGGAATGGATAAGGGTTTCACTATCCCCATCCTCATCCCAATTCCTGTAATATATACTCATCCTTGTCCCCATACGCGACGGGTATGAGATTTAGAAATTCCTTTGGTACAAGTTCTATTTAGAGGGTATCCATGCCTCTTCTAATTAAGATCATTTAAATGATGTTATGTGTGATTTTTATTATATTTATTATTTTATAAGTAAGTTTTAATTTTTGTAGATTAGTCCTTCATTAATTTATTACATTAAAACTAAAACCAATCATATAAAAGGTTTAAGGTTGCTGGGAAACTCCGTTAGCATGAGTTGCATATTGAGGAGAGAGTCGATTCGATGCTTGACATCGTACCTGCGAGAGGTTACGACTTATTCTACAACACAATCATCACCTTAGATCTCCAAATTCAACTTGTAGACAACAACAACTCCCACTCCTTCATGTTTTTCGCACCCACGGACGCCTCCCTCTTCGTGCTCGACATGACTCAAATAGCATCGTCTTACACCGACACACTTCGTCTCCACGATGTCCCTCGTCGCCTCTCCCTCATGCACCGCCTCCTCCTGACGACTACACGCTCCCCACGCTCTCCTCCCTCAACCCCGCCGCCAACTCATGCGCCACTCTCCCTCCGCCATCGTTGTCAGAGGCGTCAATGTCGTTTCCCCAACCTTTTTTTTAGTCGCAACATCATCTTCCACGACCTTATAGGAGTTCTCAGTCTTAGATCTAACAATTCTCCTTCGCTTTCGTCGATTCCCTGTTAGAAAGAAATATTTTGAATGAAATTAAAAAGTCAAAGATATGTAAGTAATGTAGGATTATTCTCTAAAATGTAATAAATTAATGAAGAGTTAATCTGCAAAAACTAAAACTTGCTTATAAATTAATAAGTCTAATAAAAATCACATGTGACACCATTTAAATAGTCCTAGTTAAAGGGGGTATTGATACCTTCTAAATAGAACTTGCACAAAAGGAATTGTTATGAGATTTGTGTTCTCATTCTCATCCCTGTCGAGTATTAAATATATTCGTATCTGTCCAACAATTAATTAAATACTTTTTTATAAAAGAAATATTGAGAAAAACAATATTTTCAATATAGAATAATAATTAAAAATTACATTAATTAAGTTTCATTTTACATGAATTTAAAATAGAGTAAGAATTACATAAATGTCAAATAAAATTTTTTTAAAATAAATTAAGCTTCTAAAAAAATTAAAGTGAATCAGATATGTGTATACCCACTCCACCCCTTGTATCCTATTTAATAAATTGGTTATTATATATATTCCATCAAATCGATATTTCTCGTCAAAGTTAGATAAATTCAAATAATTTTACACATACAAATTCAGTTGTCATCCCTATAGTTGATTAAAAAATTTGCCCCGTTCAAATGGTAACATTTGGAATTTAATTGTTGAGGTGTGTTTAATTTGGGGTGACGAAGGAATTAATGAATTGAAGCACTTAGAGGAGAAGTCAATGCAAATGCAACCGGGTGCTGATGCATGCAGATCTTGTTTACATCATCCATCCACATTTAAGTTTCTTATGTGGTGCATCATCATTGCTCTCTTTTGTTGTCATTTTTTCACGTATTATTAACTCAACCTCATTACTTCACACAACTGTTTTATATACCGACCTTACTCCCGCTACTAGAACCATGTTAGTGGTTTATGTATCAAGTTATCTAACATTTTACACCGATGTAAATGATTCACATAGTTAATTTACGGCTTTCTCATTCACATTACACCAGTAAAAGCAAAGAAAGAAAAAGAAGCTTGAATAAAGACAAAGCAAGGCATAAAACAGGAAAAAGTAAAACACATATAGCATCAATGATCAACCATAGATCTATAAAAAAAAAACTAAAACAACCCACAAACACACTTATACTTGGATTCCAAGTTTCCCCGTTTATTCCATCCAAAGTACCATATAGATTTCCTTTCACTTTATCACTACCTTGTTCACTATATCCACAACCCACCACTTCTAGCTGTCACAACACAACACAACAACACTCACATACACAACACAACACAACCCCTTTAACTAGAGATCAACGACTCCTCCATGGAAGAAGAAATGCAGATACAACAACAAGAAGACCACGACCCTAACCCTAATTACCGCAACCCTAACCCTCGTCATCACCAGCAATTCCGTTTCCCCGGCAAAGTCCCACCCCACCGCCACCACCAAGTTCACAACATGGACAAAAGCATCCCCTCTCGCTTCAAACCCAATGCTCCCAAACGCGAACACTGCATTTGCATCACCGTCTTCCTCATTCTACTCGGCGTCATAATCCTCGTCCTCTGGCTGGCCTACCACCCTTCCAAGCCGCGCTTCGCGGTGGCCAGCGCCGCCGTCTACGGCCTGAACGCCACCTCGCCGCCGCTGATCTCCATCGCCATGCAGTTCAACGTCCTCATAAGGAACCCTAACAGGCGCGTCTCCATCTACTTCGACAGGCTCTCCGCCTACGTGTCCTACAGAAACCAACCCATCACGCCGCGCGTGGTGCTCCCGCCGCTCTTCCTTGAGAAGCACGCCACCGTGTCTCTGGCGCCGGAGATCGGCGGCGTCCCCGTGCCCGTGTCGCCGGAGCTCTCCAACGGGTTGGCGATGGACGAGGCTTATGGGGTGGTGGCTGTGAAGCTGGTGCTTGTTGGAAGGTTGAGATGGAAAGCTGGTGACATAAACTCTGCACACTATGGCTTGTATGTCAAGTGTGACGTTATGATGGGTTTGAAGAAAGGTTTTGTGGGTCAGGTTCCTCTTCTTGGAGCCCCCGTTTGTGACGTCGATTCATGAAGCTCCTATATACCTATTCATATCGATCTCATAAATAAATACAATGTGTGCATTTTTAATTCTAAGAAAAAGTTCAGATGAGTTGGCTTTCTCAGCTCACCGAGATTAATTAGAGCAGGTTTCAAAGTTCAAAGAACGCTTACTACAAAAATACTTACCGTTGATTATCTAAAACCTTCACATTGGCACTGGCAATGAACACATTCAAGTGGGATATCAGCTCATTCCTTATTGATGGAACCAACCTTTGGTTCAATGTGTACACGTTGCATGTATCTTTATCATATTATTCATATTGCATTTTGATATTTTTGTCAAAAACCAGAAGTTATATATAGAAGTTGGATTTTGCTAGTTGTGTTTTGTGTTTGAGTGATGATGATATGTAAAAGAAGGTAGAGATTTTATTATTTGAAGTATTTTGAGTCACATTACAATGTCATGTTAATTTTGGATATAGAAAAATTAATCCAGAAATATGCATGAATTATGTATGCGTGTGTATGGCATGGCTATTTGGATTTTGGATTCACGTGCAATAATAATTTTTTAATCAGAAAATATAAATTCAAGAAAGAGGTTTATTAGACATGGGATCAAACTTGCCATCCTAGGTTCACATTTCATGATATGGTATGAGTTGACGTTTTTTTTTTTTTTATGATGTAGGTTTGAGAACTTCGATTAATCACTAACTTGACTCAACAATATTTGTGATTTTTAATAAATTTAAATTAAATTGAGAATGTGTTTCTAATATTTTTTTAATATTATTGAATAAAAATACTAAAAACACACTTTTTAATATACCTGTTTGAATTTAGTCCCTTTAATTTATTGATTGAAATATATTATAAATCACAAAATTTATTGAGTTTCACCTTTTATGTAATGAATCTCTTTCACGATCTTATGGTTTTCAATAATTTTTTTATAAAAAAAAAAAGTTATGTAATGACATTGTAATTTTACAGTGTCATCCAATCACTACCTATCATATATGACAGATTGATTAATTTCTATAATAATTATTTTAAGAGTCATATTAACCATAAAAATATCTTACTATAATTTCTAGTTTTTGACCCTCCTCTCGTATTGGATAGCACAATGAGTGTGGGGGTTGGTGCAGAGGGGAATCAAAGTTTGGAGGAGTGGGATGTTGATGCAGCAAAGAAAGCATTGGTTGTCTTGTCTCTATCTTACTTAAAGTTCTTTGCTTTTGTAAAGCCAGAGGAACATACAGCTTATCAATTTAGAAGCTCTTGTCTTTACTTGTTGAAAAGGAAAGAGATTAAAATTGAACTTGTTCACTAAGGAAAGAAGAAACATGAGTAGCTCTTTTATCAGTGTCTTGATCACAAAACTTGGTAAAAATAAGTATAAAACAGAAAAGGTGAATTTCGGAAGTGGTTTGATTTCCTTTGCTATGTGCACGCGTTTAATAGTAATGATAAGTACTTTCTCGTTTCTCCTTCGCTATGATATTTTATTTTATTATGGCTCACGTTTTGCATTGATGTTCTTGATTTTTATATTTAGATGTTCATTGTAATTTTTTTTAGTAACAAATTTTCATTTCTTAATTTCTTCGGCCCCGTATGAAACAAGCCTTAGAACTGATATTTGTTCTCACATAGCCATTTGCATCATATTTTGTACCGTATAAAAATCATTGAGGAAAGAGTTTGTTGAACACCCGGAAAAGAGAAGAAATAAAAGAGCGAAGTGATATATGTAATGGAAAACGATATTTGGATACTTAACAAATGTCTACATCTTGAGAGAGATAGAAAAAGCTGAAAAATAAGTGATTGATATAATTGATAGAGGAAAAGAAATTTACTGGTGCATCAATTATTTTTAATAACACATGAAAAAGTATTATCGTCTTAAAATATGTTTAAACTTAATCTAAACTCAGAATATGAAATTTATAAATAATAGTATTATAACGTATGATCTAATAATACCAATAATAATCGTTAAGATATAGATTTTAATGTTGTGTTAAAATATGGATGCCACTCTAACTTAATATCATTAATTCAACTAATAATAAATATAAATATTGTTCATTCCCTTATATATATTATTTTGATTATATTATTAATCAATGTGAAATCTCTAATAAATTTTTTTTGATAATATAAAATACAATCCAATTCATCGATGATACGAAAGACTCTTTACATCAATATTAATGGTATCCATTATAAGATGACTTTAATGGTATTCTTAAAATCAACCTCATCTTCATCCTCTTTTTTGAAACGATAAGCTCATGGACAAAAAAATATTTCATCAAAAGTAATTTTTTTTTTGATTAAACATCAAAAGTAATTTGCTTCTACTTCTGAAGCATACAATCCTAGTTCGAGAAACTATCTAAATCTGGGATAATTTTTGAACAATAACTACCTCTATTGACTAATAAAAAAAAATTGTTGACTTTATTAGTGATGGTCACTTGGTCAATTGACAATTAGCCAACACTAATTTACTCGCTTTCTTCTCATTTTTAAGTAGATAAAATCGTATTTTTTAAAATATAAATGAATTTCAACTATTTTTTATTTTATTTAATGACACTCTTATTGGGATTTTTTTATTTAATACATGCTCTTTTGGTTGCAATTTTTTTTTTGAAATTTATAACAAGAATAATATTTCTATATAAGTAAATTTTAATGCAATTAAATCTGAATCTTTTTAAATAGATATAAAATCAGTAACTAAAATATCTATAAGAAAAATATTCTTTATTAATATAAAAATAAATAATAATTGATATTGTAATAGTAGAAATTCCGGGGTGTTACACATATAATATCCCAATATAACTACACAACTTCATAACACAATTATCAACATAGTTCAACTATCAGCTCATTCATACAACATTATATGCAACTTGAATGCAATGACACACCTGATATAATGTATGAAAACTAATCACATCTCACCAAGCATGTACCTCACCCAATCATGTCCCAAAAGATATCAAATGCACCTGAACACATCTCAAAAGACATCATATTCAAACACATTGACCAATGAGTCGTCACACATTCACCGATGGAGCTCTCCTAACAACATGAGTAGTCTAAGTGATTTCCACCCTACCGAACCAACCCAATCGTTTTCACGCCCGAAGCGCCGGCTCAATCACAGCAAAATGGGATACCAATCCCTCCTCTAGTTTCTCGGGTCTCATCACTTACACTAGGAAAGTTCGGTTCCACCATCAAGTACTGCCTCCTATTTATAGGCAACCATGGGTTCCCGGAACGGCCCGTACTGAATCCAGAACGGCCCGTTCCGGAGCCTTCAAATATACGTAAATTTTTTAACTAGAACGGTCCGTTCTAAAATCAGAACGGTCCGTTTCCAAAAAGGAGAACGACCCGTTCTAAAATCAGAACGACCCGTTCTGGGGTTAATGTTTACACTGATTGACCATAAGGAGAACGACCCGTTTCCAACTTAACTTTTTAGGCATTTTTCTTACTCTGGAACGGCCTGTTTCCCTTTGGGAACAGCCCGTTCTGGGAAAACCCAAATAGGCCATTTTACATATTTGGAACGGCCCGTTCCACTTTTGAAACGGCTTGTTCTGCTAGCTCAAAAACAACTTATTTACTTCGTTTGGAACGGCCCGTACTACTTTTGGAACAGCCCATTCCGGCGTAAAAAAAAATAGAATTTTATAAAAATTTTCACAAATAATTTAAATTGTTACAAACCTTTAAAATATTCTATAAAACCCCCTTTAATTAACTAAAATAACTATAAGAAAAATATTCTTTATTAATATAAAAATAAATAATAATTGATATTGTAATAGTAGAAATTCCGGGGTGTTACACATATAATATCCCAATATAACTACACAACTTCATAACACAATTATCAACATAGTTCAACTATCAGCTCATTCATACAACATTATATGCAACTTGAATGCAATGACACACCTGATATAATGTATGAAAACTAATCACATCTCACCAAGCATGTACCTCACCCAATCATGTCCCAAAAGATATCAAATGCACCTGAACACATCTCAAAAGACATCATATTCAAACACATTGACCAATGAGTCGTCACACATTCACCGATGGAGCTCTCCTAACAACATGAGTAGTCTAAGTGATTTCCACCCTACCGAACCAACCCAATCGTTTTCACGCCCGAAGCGCCGGCTCAATCACAGCAAAATGGGATACCAATCCCTCCTCTAGTTTCTCGGGTCTCATCACTTACACCATTGGAAAGCTAACATCCAAGGATACAACTTTCATGAAGTCTATAAAGTCAAATTCTGAAAATCAAACGCACGCCCGGCGTATCAAAATCACGCCCAGCGCAATTCTCAACCAGAGACCTACAGAGGTCTATTGCGCCCGGGACAATCATCCTGCGCTCGGCGCAGTATCAGTAACAGATACATTAGATTCACGTCTGATAGTGCGCCCGACGTGGTTCTCCCACGTCCGGCGTGATTCACACAGAGATTCCCCATTTCAAATCACGCCCGGCGCGAAGAACGGAGCCCGACGCAATTTCAAACAGTAACCCACACCACTTCGAAGATTTCACCCAAAACCTGCAAAAATCAACATCCTAGGCACATGCAATCGGTCCAAAACACCACATTTTCATCATGCAACCCGAAAATACCATTTTTTTCAACATGCATCCATCAATCATCAAAAACCCCAAATTTTTCATCAAAACCCTGAAAACCCATTTTCATCACATACAACCATCAATCTTCAAGAAATCAACCACACCATGAGTTTAAGAACTCATTTCCAACAAAATCTGCTAAGAAAACTAGCTTCCCTTACCTCGGTGCGAGAATCCGAGCTCCGGGAAGAAGACGAGCTTGAACGGAGAAGAAAAGGGGAAGAAGGAGAAGCTTGAGGAAGCTCCGCACGGCTCAGCAAGAAACCCAACACCACTACTCAGCTCCTAAGATTCACCACAGCCACCCAAGATCAGAGAAAAAGGAAAATGGGGAAAAAGAGAGTAAAATGAGAAGTGAACGAGAGAAGAGAGTTGAAGAGAGTCGGGGAGAGAAAAATAAGGAAACAGGTCTCACATATATATATGCACGCTCATATATATTAGCTACAAGTTTTTGCCAACAATGATAGTTACAGGTTTTTGTTGTGACTAATGGACAATTATATATTATAACGTACCATCAAAATCACCTAAAAAAATAATACATTAAACTAATTAATATTAATTGTAAAGTCAAAATTAATAATCCAAATTTATAAATGCTTATTTTACTTCTTTTTTAGAATCAGAATCTTGAGAGAGAAAAAATCCACTTCTAA